TCTTTTCTGCGGGTGTTTTCATCCGTGTAGGGATTTTTGTTTGTGGATATATGGATATTTTTTTCTTGTGTGAACATGCGTTATCACTTATACATGCATACATGCATACATACATACATACATACATTGATATATATATATATATATATATATATATATATATATATATGCATATATATATATATATAATATATATATATATATATATATATATATATTATATCACATATACACACACATATTATATACATATATATATATATATATATATATATATATATATATATATATATATATATACTATATATATATTATATATATATAATATATATATATATATATGGTTATATCATACACACACATATACTTATATGTATATATATACATATATTATATATATATATATATATATATATATATATATATATATATGTATATATTGCATATATACTTCCTACTTTCTCTATATCGATTTACATAATATTTATTCATTTCCTTTGATGCTTTTACTGCCGAGGGCGTTCGTGTTTGTAACGGTTAATTCACTATAGAGAATGTAGTGTTTTATGTCATTTATCGTTATTAGTATTTTTATAAATTTTTTATTCTTATTATTGTCATTGTTATCATCATGTATTAATAATAATATAATAATATAATAATATAATATTATTATTATTATTATTATTATTATTATTATATTTATTATTATATTATTATTATTATTATTCATTATTATCATTATTATGCTGCGGATGATGATGATAATGACGGTGATGATGATGATGGTGATGAAGAATCGTTATAAGATGTTTATGCAAACATTGTCGGCATGCAATGTTTGATGCATGTTTCATCAGTAAATGCAACTGTGTTTTAGAAATTGAAAATGAATCTGAAGACAAAGGAATTGATAGCATTTTATTGACTTTATCATAGAGAGAGAGAGAGAAGAGAGAGAGCAGAGAGAGAGAGAGAGAGAGAGAGAGAGAGAGAGAGAGAGAGAGAGGAGAGAAGAAGAAGAGAGAGAAGAGAGAGAGAGGAGAGAGAGAGAGAGAGAGAGAGAGAGAAGAGAGAGAGAGAGAGGAGAGAGAGAGAGAGAGAGAGAGAGAGGAGAGAGAGAGATGAGAGAGATAGAGAGAGAGAGAAGAGAGAGAGAGAGAGAGAGAGAGAGAGAGAGAGAGAGAGAGAGAGAGAGAGAGAGAGAGAGAGAGAGAGAGAGAGAGAGAGAGAGAGAGAGAGAGAGAGAGAGAGAGAAGAGAAGAGAGACAGAGGCACTAGTCATGGCCAAATACTTGATGCGGAAACTATAGCTTACTCGAATGACATGACATGACCACAAGAAAAAAGAAAACGAAAAAAAAAAAAAGAAATATGGCCACAATCACACACGTCACGACCATAGACTAAACACACACTTCAGACTCGACTAGTATGGCCACCCACCGCATCCCCCCCCCCAAAAAAAAAAAAAAAAAAAAAAAAAATTGCCATAACAATCCCTCGTCTTGTCCATATAATAAACACAATCCAGATGACGCGAAAACAAGGCCCCCCTCCCCCCCCCAAAAAAAAAAAAGAAAAAAAAGAAAAGAAGAAGAGGGAAAAAACTGCTAAGTCACTCATGGCCCTGTTCTCGATGGCCCTGAGAGTGCCTTCTGGCCCGGTGGCGAGTGGTTCAGCTTCGGAAGACGTGTTTTGTGAGATTCAGGGCCACAGAGGGAGAGGAAGAAGAGGAAGATGGATGAGGGAAAGGGAAGGAGAAGGGGAAAGTGGAAGAATAAGAGAATAAGGTGGATGAAAGGGTGGAAAAGAGGATAAGCATAATAGAGGAAGAAGAAGAAAAAGGAAAAGAAAAAGAGGATCAAAAGAGGAAGAAGGAGAATGTGGATAAGAATAGGAGTGGGGATATAAATAAAAAAATATAAAAAAGTAAAGGAAGAAAAGAAAAAGAAAAGCGAAAGATGAAGAAGAAGAAAATTAAGATGAGGAAGAAGATGAGAGTGAAGAAGAGAAGAAGAAAAAGATAAAAGAAAGAAGAAAAATGAAATACAAAAAGATCAAAGTGAGAAAGTGAAGAAAATATAGAAGAGAAACAAAGACACAGAAGAATAATCAGGAGAAAGTGAAAAAAGGACACTAACGAAGAGAGATAACACACACAAAGTTATGGAAATGTTTTTTTTTATCTTAAAATAATGAAGTTTTAAGCAGAAGACTTGTATAGTTCAGGTTTCATTTGGTTATTGTGTTATTTTTCTATATGATTTAATGGATTTTAAATGGCAGAATATAATCAAACAATTAAAAGCAATGCAGATACAGATATGAAAACACACACGCACACGTTGGTGTATATATATACACACACACATATACATATATACATATATATATACATATATATATATATACATATATATTACTATATATATATATATATATATATATATATATATATATATATATATATATATATATATATATATATATATTATAT